GTGCTTCGCCGGAAGTTCCGGTTCCAGTATTTCCGCAACTCGCAATCCGCAATTTTTAAATTATGATGCGAGTCCGGTAATAGAATTTGTCGTCTATTAAGTAATATGTATATGTGGATTAGGGAGTAGAGTATAAACGGATTTGTAGTATATAAGTAATTGCTATCTTCCTTTTTCAGCGCCGCAGGCGAAAATTTTGACAATTTGGGAAAGCCAAGAAGCCGAAATTCTTTTTTTTTCAGCGCCGCAGGCGAAAATTTTTTAAATTTTCAATAAAAGATGGTAAATTTTATAGATTTTGGCCTTAGTTTAGGCTTAAAAAATTGTTTCGTTTCGTTGAAAAATCACAGGTGTTTCGTAACGAAACGAAACGAAACAAATTTAAAAGTGTTTCGTAACGAAACGAGACGAAACAGTAAAAATCATACGAAACATACGAAACAACGAAACGAAACGAAACGTTTCGCCCACGTCTGATACAGACGGATATCCGCAGGCATTTTCATATTATTTGTATCCATATCCGTATCCGTGTGCAAGTCTGGCATTAACTATCCCAAATCACAGTTCACTTCTGATATACACTTAATCACTACAAATTTACCGTTAACTTTATTATCCTAATTCACCTTCATCTCTTCAAATACTTAGTATTCAATTAATCACCAAACACCCTTTAATAATTTTTAATTTTTTTAATACTAAAACCCTAAATATCCCTTTTTGGCTCAAAAAGTGTAACGTTTGCTTCATGTTTGCGACTAAAAGGCTGCGATTTATTTTAAAAATTACTGCATGCGAATAAAAGGCAGACGGCTGGTAACTGCCGCGTCTAAATGACAGATGGCTGGTTGTTTTTGTTTACACCTAACTTTACCATTAAAAATTAGAGAAAAACAAATTTTTCTCTCTTATTTTTAAAAACGAAAAATTTTCGTGTTAAAACAAATTCTGTTTTTCTTTTTAAAAAACGGCAAAAAGCGTGACGGAAAGTGTGAAATTATATAGTTAATTTGAACTTTATGAGTCCAATCAAAAAAATAATAATTGCATTTTTCTTGGTATTGCAAAGTAAGGGTATGGTTACAAAACATTTCTTCATGTTCGGGACCTACGCCCACTGCGTCTGGGACCGTTCATTAAAAAGGGCGCAGAAACGGTTTAAAATTATATTGGCAAATGGGCACTTTATAAAAAGTAACGATTGATTATCAAGGGTTTACCCTATCATTAGTTTATACAATTTATGTCATTTCCAAGATGTTCTAATAAATAAATAAAAATTTAGAGTGGTAATTATAAAATGGATTGTGAGCAGGCTATCTATGAAAATAATTATTTAAATAAATATTTGATTGTCATAGGTAAAAAAAGTAAAGCAACTTGTAAATTAGATAATAAAAATAAATCTGAAATAATAGATGAGACAAAAGACAATTTTGTCAATAAATTAAATGAAAATGAAAAAAATGCTGAAGAAAAAATTAAGGAATTATTTGATGAAACAGATAAATTTCGTGGTAATTTTTTTGTATTCTTGGTAGTAATGGAACCTTTTTCCTCAGCTAATATTTTCTCGTTATTTTTTAAATAACTCAGAGCTAAATTTTCTAATATTCATACTTGCTCTGGTAATTAATTCAGACTGCAACTAAAAAACCGGACTTTGGAAAAATTTCTTGTCCGTCAGAGATATTTCAATGTATATCATGGATTCTGCCATTCCCGAATCAAAATCTGGAAATTCTTTTTTATGTATGCACGATCCCTGATGAACTTACAAATTAGAATCTAATTTTTAATTAGGACTTGATTAGAGTTTCCAGGATAAATTAGTATACATATATAGTAACTAGGGCTACCGAAAAAAATTCAAATATATACTCAAAATATTCCTAAATTTAGCCAAAGAAAAAGGTAAAAATGTTATGGATTATGCTCCACTACAAATTTACGAAAATATGCAAGAACCGTACAAGAGTCCATATGGGCATGGTTATCAAGGACTAGATGCTCAAAACAAAGGGAAGGATAAATATATTTTGATAGAATCGGATGACGAAATGGAACATAATATTCCAAATAATATTGATAAAAATGAAAGTGCTAAAACTGATCAGAAACATTTTGAAGATTTTAGCAACGTGTTCGGGGTTAGTCAGTCAAACGGATATCTAGGTAAGTTTTTAAAATATGAAGATAATTAAACTCAATAGAAATAAAAAAAGATGTTTTTCTAAGATGTTTTCTATTCCATCTACTTAAAATGAATTTTTCGAGAGTAACAAATTCGTTAGCGGGCCTTAGAAATATCATGAATAATACCGACAAATCATGTTGCTAAGCAGACTTTTTAATATAAAAAATAAAGTAGTAAATTTACGGAGCAGTTCAACTGAGTCCCGGCTCAATTGAGTCCCGGCCCTATAACTCAAGTACGGGTTAATAATTTTTAATGTTTTTGGTACCATTAGATAGAGCATCAGATGGACTTCAATATACCAAAAAATCAAAATTTTCGATTGATTGGTAAAAAAGTTATGATCTAAAAACTAACTTTTTCAAAAAAATCGGATTTTTCGGCACTTTATCGATCATAACTTTTTTACCAGTCGGTCAGGAATTTTGATTTTTTGGTATATTGTAGCCCATTTAATGCTCTATCCAATGGTACCAAGAGCAAAAAAAAGTGACCATCCCTTCATAAGTTATAGGGTTCGGGACTCAGTTGAGTCGGGACTCAATTGAGGTGTACCGGTAAATTTAATATAGAAATTTGCTGAATCCATACCCAGTATAGAACCCAGAATAATGGAATATGAAGTGAATACTAATTAATTAATGTTGTTATTCCTGCCGGACAATATTCACAGCTCACCCCTTAAGAGCGATTAAATATGAAGCGATTAAATACCGTTTGCTTGACTGATTAATAGACTGACTAACTGAATGATCCCCTTTTTCTCCTTTTCCTTGGATTATATTGGTATAGATAGGTGGGGTCGCTGTAAAAGTTAGTTTAATATTTCTCAATCCTATTTCAGCCTTACAATATTATTAAAAAATATGAACTAAATAATTTATTAACTTATTATAAACAGATGATATGATAAATAATCCGTTTATGAGTAATCAGCAACATCCTCAATATTATACATATCAGCAACATCCTCAACAACATCCTCAATATGATCAACAACATCCTCAATATGATACATATCCCCAATTTAATCCATATCTTGGAAGAGGTAAACGTGATTGAAAACTTGACTCGAACAACAACAATTTTATACGTTCAACCAAATATATGCGACAAACAATCTTTTTACGATTGACGGTTTTAATGATTGTGAGCCAATTCTTCGGCTGACGCCCCCTTTTTTTATGTTTCCCTGATCATTTTGAGAAAATTCATGAGCGAATTGTTAAATTTTAACAGAAAACCTTTTGATTTCCATGTATAATTTCTTCCAAATTTTATTTCTAATTTACCTATATGTTTGTGTGTATCAAACCAAAAAGTTACAAGACGAGAAAAGCTTTTTGGTTTCATAGGCTAAATTGTAAAATTTTAATTTTCAAAAGGCCAAGCCAGAAACCTTCCTAATTTAGCGTTTCAGGCAAATATTTTCTGATATCTTTGGCCCAAAAAAGTTTAGGAAAATTAATCTTTTATTGACACAGCCGAATTTTTTAATTTTGCCTTATTTAAAGTTATTTTTTCGCATACTCAAAAAGTCTAGACCAACACGGAACGGGATTCATAAAAATCCTATTTTAATTTTTTCAAAAATCCTATTTCAAAAAAAACACGAAAAACATATTCTTCCTCAAACTCGTTTTATTCTAAAACTAGGGTTGTTTACTACCGTTTATTAACTGGTACCCCCGGTTTTCGGTTAATCCAAAATTTAAAAACCCGGTTTTCGGTCTTGAGTTTTGTCAAATACCGGTTTTATTTTGGAGGCTTTTAATAAAATCAGTCAATTTCAGAAATTTTCGGTTTTCATTTTTTTTAATTCTGTAAAAACGGTTAATTTCTGGCAAAAAGATATCAAAATTTTCGGTTTTAAAACCGGTCATGAACAACTCTATTTAAAACTAATCTGTAACTATAAAATTATTTTTCATATATTCAGCAACAAAATTTAAAAAAACAAAAAAAAATTTAAAAAACAAAAAAAAACAACTCCTCCCCCCCCCCCCCCAATCCCTGTATATATTTCTATACTTTCTATTTGATTTTAAACTTTATGTACATATATATTTTTTCATTTAGTAGATTAGAATAAAGTGTACATAACCCCAATTTTGCTTAAATTTTTATTGGTCATTTTGTCAATTTAAAAAATTAATTTAAAAATAGTCTCAGATCATTTTGACACAAAAAAAAATGTTAAAATGAATCTGACATAAAATTAGTATGTTCTGATTAGGCGTTAGTGAGTTGAAAGTCACATAAAACTGGTAAAAAATCAAAAAATAATCAGAACTATATAATAAAAAACACAAGGTGTAGTTTTTATCAATTAACGTAAAAAAATAAATTGAAGAAAATTAAATGTGTTTAGATTTCAAGTTAGTTTTTTTAATTTTGCCATCATTATTTTCTCTATTAATTTTTGAAAATAATTTTAAATTTAATTAATTCTATTTACCTAAACCATTGCGCTAGTTTATTAAAATTCTTCTGTATCCAACATATATTGGTTTGAAGAACCTCCAAACGTTGTTTAAATATATCCAAATTTCTTTAGAAAATTAAAAATTTTTGGAAATTTTTTTTAATTTTTCTGATTTTTTTCAAAAAATTTAAATTTTTGAAAAATTTTAAAATAAAAAAAAACACTTTGTAGTTTTCTGATTTTCACTAAGAAAGTTCTCTACTTGGTCCATAACCCTTTGAGATTTGCCAATAATTGATGAAGAAATAATTGAACGTAACATACGTTGTTGGTCTTTAAAACTTAAAAATTTTTTTAAATAAAATTCTTCCTTTTTTACTTTTGATAAATTATTGGCCATTTATCAAAGAAAAAATCCAAAATTATTTTCTTTCCAATAATTCTACTTCCAACATATTTAAAAACTGAAGGACTGTCTTGTAAACGAATAATTGTATTGTTAACATCAATGGCCATTGTAAGAAGCCTTAAAAATAAATTTAAAAATACTCTGAATTTTAAAAAATTCTTCTGAGTAAATGCAGAATTGCTATTGACCTATACACATAAAATTTATAATCAAAACTGCTAATAACCCGTGACACTATTTCTGACCTTTCAACATAAAAATTTTCAGAATATTTTTAGGTTCAAAGTAAAAGATGTAATAAAGCTCTCTCTTAATTATCTCACTAATGAATTTTAGTAGAATATTTGTAAAAAAATTTCTCATTAAATTTACATTTTTAATGTATGTGTATCTCTAGAACATGCCAACGCTATAAGTAAACGTTCCTTCTCTACTTGAACAATTTCATTTTTAAATAATTCCAAAACTAAATTCCAATCTTGTTCCGTTCCATAATGAACACCTTCACAATATGCTAGAGTTCGAAAAGGTGCAGGTATTTTGGAACATTGACTAGCCATTTTTCTTTCTTGTATATGGGGTAAAGAAGGTGATCTAAAAATAAATAAGAGAATTACTTTAAATTTAACTAAATAACTAAAATCTTCATCATATCGACCTTTTCTTCAAATTTATTATTTTAGCCGTTTCTCAACTATCCAAATCTCTCACCTACTCCAAATTGTTTTAACACCGAATTGGAGTTCATAAACATATCTCGCATCTCCCAACTATCACAATCCCTCAGGGGCCTATTTCAATTGTCCACAGATTCTGCATTCTGTGCACAGAACACAGATTCTGTGGAAATTCTGTTTCAATTAAATTCTGTGTGCACAGAATCTGTGGTGCCCGCAGATTCTGCGGAAACATCCAATGATTCTGTGGAAACATTCCGCAGATTCTGTGGATGAAAATTTCTGTGGAAAATATAAAAATCTGTGGATTTTTTCCACTGATCCACAGAATTTGTATTTCAATTATTTTTCTGTGGTTCTGTGTATTTTTTCTTCTAAATTCAAATTTTTTATTTCCGCGTTTTTGAAAATAACAGTTTTATTGAAACGAAAAATGGTTTGGACAGTTCGGTACTACCGCAGTATTAATGGTACCTGATTTTTTGAAGTAAAACTTTAAAAATTCTTAAATTAAACTGAAAAATATTGTAAAGATTTAAAAATTTTCCCTCCAAATCACATAACATCCCTTTAAATCTCTTTGATATCACTTTAAAACCGCTGATATACCGCTTAATTTTCTTGTTCATCCAATATCCTTAAATCTCCAATTAAATTAATGTCCTAAAGCAGGGTTCGGATCGGAAAAATCAGGAGATGTCGATCCGACATGTGGCTTTTTCAAACTACGATAGAAGTTGTTGCAAGGGAGGGAAATGTTTGGGGATTGTTTAGTCAGAAATTGAGGTTCCTGGAAATCGAAAATGCCTGGAATCCAAAATTATAGTCAAATCGGAACTTTAAAATCGTAGAGGAGTGATTAAGTGGGATATCCATTGATTTTGAGGTTTAATATATTGGAGTGATTAAGGAGGAAATCTATCATTAAATAGGAGGAGAGATTATGACGGATATCAATGAGAGATCATGGGAGATATCCCAGTATACGCTATACAGATATATTCTATAGATCCTGGTAAACATCCCCTCATTAGAGATATCCATGATGATTAGAACATCATAGCTCTAAATTTCAGAATCTCTCACGTTTTTTATTTTTTTATTGCTTGAATATAACAAAAACTGCGTAAAAAAGATGTACCTTTTTCAAAATTAATTTTAAGCAATAATTTTAGGTAATAAAATTATAATTTTTATATCAAAAAATAGAGAATGATTCAAACTTTAATAATCTTTAAAAATTTTGAAATTTGGTTAAGCCTAGGCCTAGAAAAAAATTGTTAAAGTTTTTCCACAGAAAGTTCGCAGAAAAAATTTTAGGGTGGATTTTTTAAAGAATTCTGTGTATTTTCCGCAGACCACAGAAATAATTGAAACAGAAATGCACAGAATCGACTAAAAAAGCCACAGATCTGTGGATTTTTTTCTGTGCACAGAAAAATAATTGAAATAGAATTCTGTGGTTTTTGCATGTTTTTGGATGTTTTGCAGAATCTGTGGATGTTTCCACAGATTCTGTGCATGTTTCCACAGAATCTGCGGACTTCTTTTTCCGCAGAATCTGTGGAATAATTGAAACAGAATTTCTGTGGTTCTGTGGTCTGTGCACAGAACGCAGACCGCAGAATCTGTGGACAATTGAAATAGGGCCCAGATATCCTAACAAGAAATTAGGTAATTACCCTGTATAATTTGACTAAAAAGTGTAAAATTTCTAGGTATAAATTGTATTTTTCTTGCATATTTGCGTGGATATTTTGGGTTTCTTTCATATTTTGCAATTTTTTATGCATATTGTACATTTTTTAATGTATAAAAATCCGCCCTCTTATTAAAAAAATCTTTACCCTGAATTGTTAAGATTATTCTCTCTTGTAATTAAGTTTGTGCAGAAATTCACAAATTGACGCCGATAAATGTCAAGAATAGCGTTTATGCAACGTGAATCTCTTAATGTACACATTGTTTGAACTATTCGTTGATGAAGCAAACTTAGATAATAAGGAAAAATATTGTTTTAATAATTAAATATTTACTCATTAAAGAAATCTTTTTCTTTGTCTTCGGATTTCCATTCTCCAATTTTATCCAATTCACGATCAAAAATGTCACCAATTAATAATTTAATATAAGCCTATTAAAAATTTATTTTTAAACAATTACCGTATTTACTCAAATAATTACCCGTGTAATTATTTAAATTCTCACTGGAGGGGGGGGGCAATTAATAGGGAGGAATTATTTGAGGTATGGAGATTATTTGAGTAAATAAGGTAATCAAAAGTTTTTGCTTCCAATTTTTAATAAAAATTGGTTTAATAATTTTATCCAAACTTGAGTCAATTTTATAAGATTTTTAAAATAAAATTTTTTCCTCAAAAAATATTTTTACCCCCAGATCCTCATTTTCAGGTTCATCATCAAAATAATTTTGTATTACATTAAAGCCAGTCAAAGCCATTTCCCATGGTGGGTATTCCTCTTCTTTTACCAAATATTTGGTTAAATTTAAAGTATCCTTTAAAGCATAATTTGTTAGGTTTAAAAAAATCTTCACTTCATAAGGCAAATAACCACCCTCAGCTAATGTAAATGCATCATCAAGTATACGTACTCTGCTACTCATTGAAAATTTCTATAATTTGTAGAAAATGAATAAGATAACAAATTAGAAAATTTATTTTGTTTCAGACCAATTAATTGTTTTACAATTAATTGTCCATCGTTTTTTCCATCCATATAAAAAACCAACCGAATGATTATTAAATAATTGTTGTCGAATTTGTTGCATTTCATCAGGGGCATATTGTACTCTATAAAATCCTTCAGAACGAAAATTTAAAACAATTAAATCCCCAGCACTCGTTTCCAATTCTGTTGAATCTTTTAACCAAAGCATTGGTTGTTCTGTTCTATTAATACTATACCAAATAGGAATATCCCATGTAAATTCATTTTCTTCTTCAATTTTTCTTTCCATCATCTTGTGAATTTTTCTCTCCTTTAAAAACTAGATTTTTGATATTTTAGAAAAATAAATGTAATCTAAATGGCATATCGGTCATACGACACTTGCAGATATGACATTTGCAGACCCGACATTTGCAGACGACTTTTGCAGATCGACATTTGCAGATACCGACACTTGCAGATATGACACTTGCAGATCAGACATTTGCAGATCCGACTTTTGCAGATATTAATTTTTGAAAAAAGTGAGCTGAGTCAAACGATACCACTCTTTTTTCCGGAGATTCTCTTTTGTTCCAGAGGTTGAAAATGTTCGACGTAGACCTATGGAGCTTCGGCGAGGCGCTTGTGCAAAACCCCGCGCTTCGCGCGGGGTTTTGCGGCACGCGCCTCGCGTGGAGTCAACGGTCGCTGGGCTCTGGGCTCGTAAAATAATCCTATTTCTATCATCGATGAGATGGGCATCCCAGGATTCCTCCACAGCAGCAAACACACCCACGGTGAATAGGTAAGGTAAAGAAGAGAGCGAAATGGGTCTAATCTGCAAAAGTCGGATCTGCAAATGTCTGATCTGCAAGTGTCATATCTGCAAGTGTCGGTATCTGCAAATGTCGGGTCTGCAAAAGTCGGGTCTGCAAGTGTCGGGTCTGCAAATGTCATATCTGCAAGTGTCGTGACACGGGCATATCTTTCAAGCTTCCAATTATAGTGCAGGAAAATCGCAAATCCAGGATCGCTAACCGGATTATTTTTAAAGGTAGACTGGAACGATAGCTTCGGGTTAATACCGTAAATCTTGTATTCCAGTAATCCCGTTTCAAATTTAATGGAATCCCGCCGGGATTGCGGGATTTTCACATAAAAATTTTTACGTAATAGAAAATAAGGATATCTGGGGATTTGGAGCAAAGCTATGTAGCATACGTCCATTTTTTCGATTCTAACTTTTTGCGTTTGGCGAGTTTTAAAAATTTGAAAAATTGAAGTTCACATTTGGCGCGCCACTTGAAATTTTTGTGTCAGCTCTGATTTGGAAGGATTAAGTGTATTTTAGACGATATTGGAGATGAGGAAGATATAAGAGGGTTTGAAAGGATATCGGAGGGTTAATAGGGATATCGTGAGATTTGACGGCCGATTTTTATAGCCCAAAATCCCTCGATATCTCTGTTGGTTTTTTACTCCTAATCCTTCTCCATTGGTCAAAATTCAAATTACCAAAATCAACTTTGAATTTGATTCAGGTTTTGAATTGTAACTTGCTTTTGTTGAACAATTAAACTTGCCTTTTCATTAGCAAAATTTTTGGTTAAATTAAGGTTATTGTCTAAACGAAAACGTTGTTGAGTTAACAAAATTTTGTTAGGAGAAATCCGTTTTAACTAAATAAAACTTTGAATTCATTTTTAGTTTAGAACATGCTTGTAGAACAGGGAATCCAGTTTCTTTAGTCCAATATTTTGCAAACTTTGTAACATTAAAAGGTTTCCCTTCTTTGTCAAGTAGATGTTGAGGGATTGCTTCTGTTAATGCATCCCACAGGTCAGTGTGTTCGGCATTTTGGTATTTGAAACGGTTTAAGTAGATCTTTAGAAAAATTATTAGAGATATCTATTTTACTTATTTACATTTACTCCACATTTAAAGTATTCTTCGCCCATCACAGATCTTATCATCCTCAAAACACTTGCACCTTTGCTGTAAGTTATTGGGTCAAAAGCTTCGTTAACATCTTCAGCTTTTTGAATTTCAAAGAATAGAGGATGTGATGTTGATCGGGAATCTCGGTCGAAAGCAGAGCTTAAGTCTTTAATAACAAAATAATCAGCCATTCTAAAACTGCCGTTACTGATTGCATCTGTACCCAAATATTCCTTAAAATTATTTTTTTTCATTTTAAAACTATAAACCGAACCATCAAAGTCGCAACACCTTCAATAAGCCATAAATCACTCCACCAACGCATAGTAACCAAATTACCAAACCATTGATGAGCTAATTCGTGGGCGATAATTGAGGTAATATCCATCTTTTGTTGAAGAGTGTATAACTCTGGACTATAGAGAAGATATTTTTCACGAAAAGTGACCTTATTTTGGGGAGATTTGTAAAAAAAATTAAATTCAGAATATACCAACCACTCCCCAATTTCCTGTCCCTCCCGCTTCAGAATCAGGAAAGGCCACCATATCTTGTTTTGGAAGCGGAAACTCAATTCCATAATAATCTTCATAAAATTCTAAAACACGAATTCCGGCTTCTAAAGTATAAGAAATAAGGCTTATAATATCCTTTCTTGCCCATATTCGAAACTAAATAAATTATAATAAAGTTTTAATTTTGAAAAAGAAATAAACTCGTATTCCACGTTTTGTATATCCCTCAACAAAATCAAAGTCAGAAACTACCAAAGCCAACAAAAATGAAGACATTGGAGGTGTCTCATCAAAGTCGGTTCGAATCCATTCGTTATTGTCTGTAGGGACTCCATCACGAATCTCTTTCGAATTACTAACAACTCTGGAGCCAAAAGGATGGATAATGTTGAGTCGATAAATAGCTTTAAAATGGGGCTCATCAAAACAAGGAACCTAAAAAGATTTTTTGAAAAAAATTTATGAATATATATTTTGTTAAACCATTCTTCGCGCACCAGTAGGAACCATCTGTGTAACTGCCGCAAATTTGTGCTCACCAGCAAGAGTAGTGTATGTTGTTAAATAGAGGCCAGCGAGTTTTGAGGCAATTGGTCCCGAGTATGGAATCTGAAAAATATTATATGAAGACATAGGAGATCGAGTAATCAGGCTAATTATTAAAGTAACTACACGAATAATGTAATGTTCGCCTATCTCCAATATCCTGTCTAACTCAAAAAAGACCTAAAAATTGATAATTATAAATTTATCAAGATTATTTTAAACAAAACTTCTCCCTAGCTTCATCAACTCTGACTTCAACAACCTTAGGAATTGATTTTGACATGTTTTGATAACTCTCATCCACCCGATCCAACTTGTACATTTCAAGATTATAATGATCAAAAGAAAGCTTTAAAGCATTTAATTCTACTCGACAAGTGCTTTGTTCAACACGGAATTTTATAAGCAAATTAGCATTAAAGGTTAGATTGGTTTCGTCATAAATTTGTGCTCCAAAGCCAGGAACGAATATTTTCATTGTTAAATTATACCAAATTGGGTAAATCTTTTGTTTAAAATTTACTTTTAAAATTTAAATAATTTACAATCACCTCTCCAGAAAGTCTTAATTCATCAGCAGTAATACTTTTACTTTCTAGCTTATCCTTTTTATTTTCCTCCACTAAATTAGCTTCATTGTTTGAAGGTGTTGGAGTGACAAATGTTTTGCCGTGGACGGAAAAGAGGACGGAAAGAAAAGCAAAAAATATTAAAAGAATCTGACAAAATTTTTAAATTTTATTTTAAATATTTCATCAGTTTCTACCTGTCTTTTAGAAACAAAAACAGATTTTGATCTAGTTTGTAACATTCTAAAAAAAATAAGAAAATAATAGAAAAATTTTTTAAATGATTTTTTAAGCAAGTTGATTTCTATTAAATACTTGCTAATAATTTTTAAATAATTTTATTACATCTTTAAAGTAATAAATATGTTTACCGAAAGTAAAGCAATTTTCAGAAAAAAATATTTTAAATTGTTATCTCATTTATTTTATATTTTTTAAAAATTAATAATAATTTTCAACTACTTTTTTGTCTTATTTATCATAATTAAACATGATGACTAACATAAACACAAAATAGAAAGATTTTTAAGAATATTTATTAAAAACAATTTTAACTTCAAAAATTGTAGATAACAACTAAAAATTATTTTTATCAAAATTCTTTTGCATTTGATCATCCTTTACATTGATCACATTTGATCAGAGATTCACTATTTTCTTTTCAAAATATTATACTTATAGATTAAAATAATCAAAAAACTATCATTTATGCAGTCGGAAAAGAGTTGAAATGTGAACAATAAAGCCACCCAACCTGTAGATTAATGGGGATATACGGAAATACCTAGTTGTTGGATTCTTCTTCAAAAGGGATGAAGTTACATTGAAATAAAATATGAATGGATATATGTAGTAGTGATGTTCGGGAGTGAAAAAAGCCGAGAGTCGAGACTGGGAATCGACCCCAAGACCCTCAAGACCGAGAGTCAAGGATATCACTTGACATCCTTTTTTTTACAAAAGGTATTTATTTTAGCCGATTTTTTAAATAAATAATTTTGAAAAATTTTTGCTATCAATAAGAATTTCAACAAAATTGCAGTTATTTAGTTTATTCTAATCTAACAAATTAAAAATTTTTTTAAAGAATATAGTAAAATAACAGAAAAAATAGAAAATATCAAATATAGGGAATTTTTGATGCTGGTCCAATGAAGTAGTTTGGGCTCATAAATATTTATTTGGACTCATAAACTAGAACCGAACCGAACTTTTTGGTTTTATATTTTTGGAGTTTTTAATTTTCGATCAGAATATTGATAAATTTTTAGAAATTTATTATAAGGAATATAGTTGGAAAGGAAAAATAATATTTTTCAGAAAAAAACTACAGTATTTCCTCTAAAATATCCCCCCTCTAGATGCCGATCGAAAAAGATATCCAATGGCTATTTTAAAGGAAATACTAAATTTTTAATTTTTGGTTTTTTCAAAGTTGGGCTTTTGCGCCTTAACATTTCTTTGTCATCATGTACATGCTCCCATGAAAATTTCTAACTAAACCAATTATTTCTTATCCATAAATCCGGTTATGAATTTTTTCTTGAATAACTTTGTCATCTTCACTTTTAATTTTACTTTCAATTGTTCCAGCCAAAATTTGTGGTTTTTCTTTATCAAAATCATCAAAATAGAAGGCTTTAAAAATTTGTTTCATACGTGTATAGGCTAACAAAACTTTTCCGGCATTGATGCGGATTAAAACCTTAAATTAAATTTTTTTAGGAAAATTAATGGCAAAAGTCAAAAACGGAAATCAAATTTAGAAAAATTTGACAGATGGTTAGTATATTACTTGGCTGACCGATAATATTTCAAGTTTTTTATCATCATTTTTGACATCAGAAATTTTGCTACTTAATTGTTTAAAATTAAGATATTCTTCCTCATATTCCAACCATACTACAGGTAACTCCTTCCTTTTCTCTATATCATCAGCAAGCAAACTCAAAAAGCTAAGATTATAATTGTAACTTTTTTCTTTTTCAAAAAATTTTGCAACGTCTTTAAAAGCTTTTTTCAACCAAAATTCTGCAACAATCCATGTCTCGAAGCGTTCTTTAAAGTGATCCAAACGATCTTTTTGCTTTTTATTTAAATTTATTTCCCCTTTTTGGTGTTTTTCGATTTTCTCAATTTCTTCCTGATTTATCTATAATTTCAATACTAATTATTTTATATTTTTAAAAATAATAAAAATATTATGAAACGATGTATAAATCTTCAGGGTGGATATTAAATATAAAATATTATAAGTAAGATAAAAAAGGTTATGATGAAATGAAAAGGATCCAATTATTTTTGGTTCAACCTTATGTGACAAGAAAGTAATGGGGCACACTTTTTATGTCATAAATTTTTTCAAATTAAAAATATTCAGATCAAAAGTTTGAATAATGAGGAATTAAACGGAACAGATATCAATCAAGCTAACACCTTGATTTTTCCATTAAAAATAAAGAGTCTTTGAAGATTAATTTAAATAAGTACCTTAAAATTTTGGCTTTCTAAATCATTCAAATCAAAAGTTTTGGTAAATGAATAAATCATTTTATTCAAATTTTTGTAAACTTTATTACTTGCTTTTAATAAAGAATTGTGCACATTCCAGTGTCTGTAAGCTGGCTAAATTAAATAAAAATTTATTTTATTAAGATTATATAATTGATTGTTAAATTATATTTAAGATTTTAATTTCCAAGGATGTGCAGAAGCCGGGGTGGTCCGATTTTTTAAATAAATATTGAATATACTAGCTTGAAATCCTAACCGAAAATTTTGATTTCTAGACCTATCCACAAATTTCTTAGACTATGAGTTAGGAAAAAATTTTCAGAAAGCGTTGACTCTTCATCTTCAATGTTTAAAAGTCCAATAATTTCTTCGATTTTTGCTTATTATAAGTAGTAAAAATTTTTGGAAGGCCACTAAATAACTTTTAAAAATAATGATCGCCATTAGGGGTGTAATCGACGGAAGTGGACAGAAATTTGGGAGCGAAGCGCGTAAGCGGAAGGGTTTAAAAAAGTGGAATTCAACGAAATGCGGAGAAAAGGAATAGAGCCCATTCCCTACTACAAAACTACACATTTTTAACATAAAATATTAACAACATTCTTACAAATTCATAAAATTTCATTGTAGCATTTAAAATAGGTTCAGATCTCTCATTTATTTTCTCATAAAATCTTTTCAGTTTGTTAATTAATGCTTCCATTTCCTCTTTTTCATCACCTTCCAAATGAAATATAGCTGCTTTCTTTTTATTTTGTTTCCAAAAATCTTTTAATACAATATTTCTAATATCATTATTGTTTTCTAATTTTGAAACTTTATCATCAAGAATTCGTGATGGAGTAAGTTCCTTGTCTAAACCGCCATAATCGTTTTCAATTAATTCGTTTATGTCTTCAAGTTCAATTGTTTTTAGCTATAGTTAAAATGATTTGAAAAAAATTGCGTAAAAAATGCGTAAAAAATTTTGCTTAAATCAACGAACATACTATCCGTTTCACTCAAAAATATTTTTTGGAAAAAACATGATGAGTCGATTTAACGTCAAAATTAAAGAGTAGCACTTCCTATACACAGATTTTTGAAAAACACAGAACCCCGAAGGGACCAAGCTTATTCTTTGTATTAAAGAATATTCTTATCAATTTCAGTAATAATTGTTAATTCCAATGATTAATTACAAGGATAATAATTGTATACCGTAAATATCATAATAGAAGCCCATGCCCTATTAAAAGCCTACTCAATGAGGGGTATTGAAAAATATAGCCCAGGGCTTCTATTAGGATATTTACGGCATTACATAAACAAATATTATACTTTTCCAATAGCCGCATCAAATCCTTCTTTATTATTTATCATGTCCATAACATGTTCTGTCCAGTAATTATTAATTTTGAAATCTTTATTTTCTATTAATTTATCATAAAAATTGCGAAGTTGTTCAATTCCCTTTTTTCGATTATATAAATTGGGATATTTAATTGAATAACTTTCCAGCATATATTCTTTAATTAATTCCTCAATCTTTTCAAATTCCGATCCCATTTTTTTGAAAGAATTATAATCAAGTCCAACAACAAATTCTGTAAAAATTTGTTTCAGAAGGTTGTTAACCGTTTTTCGAAGCTTTAAAAGATGTTCGTAGAGAGGTGAATCTTCATCTTTTTTAGGACTTTGTTGGCTTTGTTGAACAACAATTTGTTCTAAAATTAATGAATAATCGTGGAATTTGAGTGATAATTTAATAAAAATATTTTAAATTTATTTTTCACCATTGTGGTGAGTTTTATCTTTCTGATACGGAACAATTTCTGTTGAAGATGATGGTTGATGTAATTGTTGAGGGTTGCATGAAATTTTTAAATTTATTTTAAAAAATTATTAATTTTACCAAATAAAAAATCATCACTAAATAATTCATCAAATGTTTTATGTTCCAATTCTTCGGTGAGTTTATTCAATCGTTCTTTATCTGACTCCTGCAAAAAATATAAATTTATAAGTTTAAATAAGAGAACATTAAAATGCTGTGACACAATTTTGTGAAATCCGGCTCTATATTATTGAAAACATCCCTGAATCGCTAGGTATGAATTTAAAAAAATATATTACACTCCTGCATATCTAACCAGGGATCATGCATTCGCGAAAATCAGGAATTCATGAGTCTTTTGGTAGGGTATTAAAAAATAAAAAACGAACATCGTCTCCCGCTTTATCAAACCAAAACAATTTAAGTTTATCAAATAATTCCTTGTAGTCTTTTGCTTCTTTTGGCAATTTTTTAGTACTAAATGGGGAATTTATATTGTTTAGGTATGCTTTTTAAGCTACGCCTTGTTTCCTTATCCTTCATTTTTACTGTCTGACCATTCTTACATATTCTCTTACT